GAGCAGCAGGTAGACGGCGACCTGCTTCTGCGGCTCACGGATGAAGAACTGCAGACCGACCTGGGCATGACGTCGGGCATCACCCGCAAGAGGTACGGAGCCTCCTGCCTCCCCGCCCCCGCCCCGTCTACACGCCTCCTCAGCCGCTAGCCAGCCTGAGGCAGGACTTCTCCTTGGGGCGCAGGTTCTTTAGGGAGCTCAGGGAGCTCAAGACCTTCGCCAACTACGCTACGTGCGACCGCAGCAACCTGGCCGACTGGCTGGGCAACCTGGACCCGCGCTTCCGGCAGTACACGTACGGCCTGGTCAGCTGCGGCCTGGACCGCTCCCTGCTGCACCGCGTGTCGGAGCAGCAGCTCCTGGACGACTGCGGCATCCGCCTGGGCGTGCACCGCGCGCGCATCCTCACGGCCGCCAGAGGTCAGCCTGCGGGCGGGGACCCGCCCCGGTCCCGCCGCCGTCCCTGGAGGGGCGAGGGGAGACACACGGTGCAGCCAGACGCCGTGAGGGACTGGATTCTGAGGATGCAAAGATGAATGTGTTGCGCTTTGCCCCCAAGAAGATCCTAGTCTGCCCAGCTGGTGTGGCTCAGTGGTTGAGCGTGGACCTAGGATCCAGGAGATCACAGTTTGATTCCCGGTCAGGGCACATGCCCGGGTTGCGGGTTGGANGCTCAGTGGTTGAGCGCGGACCTAGGATCCAGGAGATCAGTTTGATTCCCGGTCAGGGCACATGCCCGGGTTGCGGGTTGGATCCCCAGGAGGGGGCGCGCGGGAGGCAGCTGATCCATGACTCTCTGAACATTGATGTATCTCTCTCTCCCTTCCCTTCCTCTCTCTGAAGTCAACAAATATATATTTATTTTTAAAACAAGACTATAATTTTTGAACATGAACAATAAGTGATATCACATTTGCAGACTAGGGTGATAGCNCTTCTCTGAAATCAATAAAGACATATTTTTTTAAAAAAAGGAAAAAAAAAAAGTTCCAAGTAGGAGTAAGGCAGGCATATAAACAGGGGGGTGACCACAATAGGAGGCATGCCCAGGACTCCAGTGGGAGCCTAGAGGAGGCACTGCCTACCCTGTCCACCCAGGTCTAGGCATTTAGAGGATGCCTGGCCAGGTCTTGACGCTGGGAT